CACTAACCTTAATGCCCACTTTTTTGCTCCTTTTGAATTAAATGCTCTGGTGCTAGCTTTTCAGTTCAACCAGGAACCCCATAACAACTTTACGGCCTTGGTGTTAATTTACTGATTGTGAAGAGATGTGACCCATCAACCTAGGTAGTTGGATGTAGACACCAGAAGGAGGAGCTAGAGCTCGAGGTGAGCAGATATCTTTCAGGGATGTCATCCTCTGTTCCCAGTGCTATATTAACAATAAAATCATGAAGGCTTTTTTAAAAATCCTATCATTGATGGGGAATTTTAAGAGTATTATCCTAAATACTTGTGGAAATCAAATATGCAATTTTAAAAGATTATTACCTTCAAAATTTACTGGATGACTTACTCAGAAGTAAAGTCATATTTCTAAATACTTTCCTTCTAAATCAAAAAGAATAAAAATATATGAATTGAGCACTAAACTCAATATCCTAAGGAAATTAAGAGAAAATAAATAGCAATCAGATAAAATAATAAATTAGGAAGCACTAGGAATAATAAATAAATCCAAGATTTGATTCTTGGAAAAACCCAATAAAATAGCAGACATTTGAAGGAAGCAACACTCATAAATGGGGAAAGCATCAATTATTCAACAAAAGGTTTTGAGTAAATTTGAGTATTTAGGAAAGAATCAAGGCAGTGTCTCACCTCACATTATACATAAAAGTAAGTCCCAGGTGGATCAAGGAGTCACATGTTAAAAAAAAAGAATTTTTAAGGGAGTAGATGTAGGTAATATTTCATTGATCTTTATGTAGGAAAGAATGTTTTAAGAATAAAAGCAAAGAAAATATACAATAGAAGCTGATATATTCTGTTAAAAATGTGAATCTTCTATATGTTAAAAATCATGAATGAAAAGACAAATCATAATCAATAGGGAAAAACTCTTAGCATCAAATAAAGAAAAGAATAAGTAATGTTCTTAATATATAAAAGGGCTCAGAAAGCAATAAAATTGTCAAAGGACATGATTTCATAGAAAAAGAAACAAAAATTATAATTATAAATGTTGATGTGGTAAAATAGGCAAAAATATTTGTATATGAGGATGGTTATGGTAGTGTTTATAATAATAAAAATTGGAATCAACAATAAAAAATTAAATTACATCTATAACACAAAACGTACTCATCTGTTAAAATTATACTATTGAAAATTTATTGACATGAGAAATTGTTCATGATAAAATAAGCACATGAAAAGGGCAGAAAAACATAACATCATTATCCCAATTTTATTAATATATATGTGTATATCTCATATATGTATCATGTATACGCATATCAATATCTTTGGATAGTATGATTACGCAATCTTTATTTTTTCCTTTAAACTTTTCTGTTTTGCAGAATTTCAACAATGAGCATATTGTATTCATAAGCAGAATACACTGAAGTGCATTCCAAAACTTTAGTCTTTACTTGAAGAAAAACACAGGTTTAAATGATCTTAATGTCACTTTGAGTCTACTTAAATTGGTTAATTAATTCCTTTTAAAAAGGGATTATTATTTAATCGGATTTCTTAAATCCTTATGAGCTGAGCAGTGTTGTCATGATTGTTTGCCAGAATGGAGATATTAAGTCATTACGTGACCCCATACTAAGCTGCTACCAGCTGTGCCAATAGGGCACTGGAGGAGGAGTCTCGGGCCTCAGGACCTTGAGCAAAGAGCCGAAGGCAGACGCTTAACCTACTGAGCCACCCAGGCGCCCCTTGAGCAAAGCTTTTAACAGCCCTCTGAGCCTCAGTTTCCTCCCATCAAACAGATATTAACACCTCCCTTACCAGTTTCACAGAGTTTTTCCAAAGACCAAAGAATATAATCCAGCAGGAGTCTATGAAATATAGGCTATTATGAAGGCAACAACCATCCTTTAAACAATGAGCTGTTGCCTGCCTGGAATTAGCAGTTGGTTTGTACAATCTTCCTAAGTCTCCTTCTTGTAAGGAAACATATACTCCCTTGGTTGCAGAGGGGAAAAAAAGTCCTCCCCATTCCTCCTATAGTCCCTTTTCTACTGAATTCGTGAGGGTGCTGACTAAGGCATATAAGTGCGTCTCCTTTGGGGGTGAGGTACAGATAGCTCATCACACATCCCTCCATCAAAACTCGACGAGGAAATGCCTGGTGTTTCCCTTCCCTGAGAATAGAGGAAATGGCAGAGACCTCACAGGTTCCCATAGGACCAGGGTGGAAGGGCAAATTCTACACTATCTCCACACAAATCCACAGGATGGCTGCTTGGCAAGGCTATGGGATCCAGATCTCTGATTTGTGGCTCAGAGTAACAAGTCCATTCATATGGCACATTAGTCCCCACCGACCCTTCCAGGATGCTGCAATTGTGAGGATGGTTGTCAAATCTGAGTCTTATTATTGCAGACTCTTACCACATGTAGTTATGGGGACAGGACAGTCCACAGCACCTCCATGTCCAGAGCCACTGCTCCAACCAGACTTGCTACAAGGAGAGCAGACTGCTGTCTAGGGAAGCAGCCACAGGTAAAAGGGGGAGGGGAGTAGTGTAACTGACCTGGAAGGAAAGCCCCGGCTGCATATAAGAGTCACCTGGGGAGCTTTTGAACATCCCCATGCCCAGGCCACACCCCAAATGTAGACTTTAACTTGAACCCCTCAGGGTAAAACCAGGTATCAGTATTTTTAAAGCTTCTCAGGTCATTCCCAAGTGCAACCAACATTGAGAAGCAGTGGCTTAGGATTGAACACAGATCTAGGCATCTCCCCTGCTCCAACATTCACACACCCTTCCTTTGCAAGGCCTCTTCCATATTCTGCTCTCTCCTGAGTGTGCCTTGCACACACTTTGCCTGTCATGGAGCTAACTCAACCCTGAGGCATCCTTTCTCCTTCGGCTCCTCTGATGGCTGGCTCCATCTCTGCTGATTCCGAATCCCCAGGAAGGGACTCATCATTAGCCCAACATGCCTTTTTGAACCAGGGCATCTGGGCCTTAGGAGGCTGACCCACCTCAGGATCAGCTACTCTGGATGAAGATCTGAGCCCTTCTTGCCCTAATAATCTGTGGGAAGGGACAGAGGTCTTGTGCTATAAAACATGGCCACCTTGGTCCTCTCCAGGTCTTTTGCGTGTGAAGTAGATGGTGTGGGGTGGCACAGTTTCCTTTTAACAGGGACTATGAGATTCTTTAATATCTAGCTCAATGACAAATCATAATATTGAAATCGAACATATTTCCAAGAAATTCATAAAAATTGAGGATCAGAGTTTTACCCTCTTTATAGAACATGATTTTTAATCTTTTAAGTATATATAGGATAATAAAATGGATATAGCCTGCTCAACTATATTTATAGTGTATGTATAATTTTATACATCTTAGTCCACAGAATCCTTGTCCATAGAAAACTACAACTGAGGGCACCTGGGTGGCTCAGTCGGTTGAGCATTTGCCTTCAGCTCAGGTCATGATCCCAGGGTCCTGGGATAGAGTCCTGCACAGGGCTCCCTGCTCAGCAGCGAGTCTGTTTCTCCCTTTCCCTCTGCGCTTCCCCCTGCTCATGCTCTCTCTCTCAAATAAATGAATAAAATCTTTTAAAAAAAAATCTACAGTTGAATTTAGAATCAAAAGACTAAGATAATCATTATTACCTTAACCAGAGCGATTTTTTTAGTTTTATTAAGAAACTTTTTCATTGAAATATAATATACATGGGGCGCCTGGGTGGCTCAGTCGTTAAGCGTCGCCTTTGGCTCAGGTCATGATCCCAGGGTCCTGGGATCAAGCCCTGCATCGGGCTCCCTGCTCTAAGGCAAGCCTGTTCTCCCTCTCCCACTCCCCCTGTTTGTGTTCCCTCTCTCACTGTGTCTCTCTCTGTCAAAAAAATAAATAAAATCTTTAAAAATATATATAATACACATAATGAAAAGTGCATATATCTTAAGTGTTTATCTTGATTTTTAAGACTATTTTTTTGAGCAGCTTTAGGTTCACAGCAAAATTGAGGAGAAGGGACAGAGATTCCCCATATACCCCTTACCCTCACACGTGCATAGCCTCCCCCATTACCAACATCCCCCACCAGAGAGGGACATTTGTTACAATTGATGAACCTACATCATCACCCAGGGTCCTTAGTTTACATTAAGGTTCACTCTTGGTGTTGTACATTCTATAGGTTTGGACAAATGTATAACGACATGTACCCATCATTATGGTATCATACAGAGTATTTTCACAGCCCTAAAATTCCTCTGTGCTCTGCCTATTCATTCCTCCCTCCCCACCACCATGATTTTTTATAAAGTGAACACCTTTGTAACCAGCATCCAGGTCGAGAAACTCAGCACTATCCTCACCCCAAAGGCTCCCCTTGTGCTCCCTTCCAGTGACTACCCACCTCCAAGGGTAACCACTATGTTGATTTCTGCCAGTATAGATGAGTTTTGCTGTATTTTTTTTTTTTTACTTTATATAAGTGAAATCGCATAGGATATACTCTATTGTGTTCTGGTTCATTCATATTTTTGCATGTAGTTTCAGCTTTAGCCAGAGATTTTGATCCTTGAAATCTAGTTCAATAAGCATTATTTAACCAGGAACTGTGCTCAGGGCTGGGGACACAAAAGCAAATAGGGTAAGTCCCTGCTATAAGGAACAATCAATCTAGTAAAGTAGTATTGACAAGAATTTAATGTAAAGTGAATTCCTTTTGTTTAACAAATATTTATTCAGTGTCCACTATGGGACAGGCAGTGTTACAGGTGCTAGGGATAAGCAATGAACAAGCAGATACAAATTCTAGTAGAAATTCTCTGTTTTATTTCCCTGACATGTGTGGGCAAGTTCTGCCCACTAATATCCATTTCCCGCTCTGTTTTGCATCTGCTTTCAACACCCCAAATGTAGTGTAGGGGAACTAGTGCTGAAAGCTACTTCTTCTGGCGACTTGGAGTGTACAGCTTTGAAGTGGCTGGTCCAACCATGAGGCCGTTTATAAACCAGTGAGCATGGGAGGTATTTCTCTGTATCTGTTTTGCCTTATTCTATTCTCTCCATCCTTGATACTGCCTATATGGAATGAAACAAAAATCTGGAACCTAAAGAAGGCTTTGGATGTTAGCTTACTTTGGGAGTAAAGCTGAGCAATCTGGTTGCTTTCCAGAACCAGGAAGTAAGAAGAAACAATTGCCAAAGTTAGACTGAAATCATAAACCTTTGAATTCGTTTTAATAATTACAAGCATCTAATATGTATCATTATTCAATAGTGTTGACTTTTCAGAGCCTAGTGAATGATTTGAGTATGATGGAGGAGGGACAGAGAATCCAACATCACTCCAGGATTGATAGCTTAAGAAGAAATGGAACAGATCATCTAGTTTTATTTGTCTAATTCATGTTTTCCCCCATTTTTATGGAAAATGTCAAGCACACATAAAAATAGAGATAATAGTAAAATTCACTTCCATGTACCCATCTTTTACCTTCAAAGACTATCGATCATGCTCAATTCATCTCTAACCCACTGCTTTCCTTCCTCTGACTATTCTAAAGCAATCCCGGGGGCGCCTGGGTGGCTCAGTTGGTTAAGCGACTGCCTTCGGCTCAGGTCATGATCCTGGAGTCCCGGGATCGAGTCCCACATTGGGCTCCCTGCTCAGCAGGGGGTCTGCTTCTCCCTCTGCCCTCTTCCCTCTCGTGCTCTCTGTCTCTCATTCTCTCTCTCTCAAATAAATAAATAAAATCTTAAAAAAAATAAAAATAAAAATAAAGCAATCCCGGTTGTCAGATAAGTTATTCATAAACGTTCAAAAAGTGAGGTCTCTTAGTTTTAATCTGTATAGTTAACAGGCACAGAGAGGTGAAGTCAGCAAGCTAGTTAGTGGCAATTATTTTTAATCCCTAGACTTCAAAAGTAAGTCAAAAGACTACTAACAGAATATTGGACTTTACATAGTGCAGTTAAATGGTATGTGTGAAATATGAGTTGTCAAATTATGTCAAGCATCTGGTCTGGTCTGTGACCATGGTCACATTTTGGATAATAGTTATAAGTGGAATAAGAGGTTCCCCACACAAGAACCTTAATATGTAGACTGAACATCACTTGAACCCAATATAAATTTGTCATCAGTACATTTAAAACCTTATTTTTAGCTTGCGTCAACACTTTAATGAATTTCATAAATTAATACTCACTCTAAAAAAAAATAAATAATTTGTATTTGTATTATTTGGCCTACAACCACCTCTTTTAAATCTCCTGTTCAGAAACTGGCAACTCTTCCAAATTGTTCAATAGGATGTTGGGACTGATGGTTGATGTTCTTTTTCATCAGTAATTTCAAAACAAAATTCTTGTGGATTTTGAAATTGCAAATAAATGTGTCCAAGTGAAACTGTTCTTTTCAACTAGTTAGTAATGAAATGGGTCTAATACCGTTCCTAAGTTTCATTGTTTCCCATCTTCAGCCTGTTCTATTTTCTAAGAAGGTTAGTTGATGTTCATTGAGCCAGTGTCAATGGCTTATCTACTTTGAGATATCAAGGCATGACTAGGCTTTAATGGAGCTGCTTTTCCAGAGTTTCCGGGCTTCCCACCCTGAGGCACCATTGTTTGAGCTGATGAGAATGTTCCAGAAGTTTCTAGAGCAAGAGGGAAAGACTGTTAGTGTCTTTGTTGTGATAATGTGCAAAATGTTGCTTGACTGCTTTGACTGTTATACTTGTCCAGTTTTATCTCAAAATGTTACCCAAGGCATGTGACATCCACCACTGTGAGAAGTGGGGCATAAAGCCTCTCTCAGTGAATATTTGATGAGGGGATAATGGGGGGGCGGGAAAGCTGCAAAGATTACCTAAATAAATAACACTGTAAAAGGCAGATGTTCAGAAACTTTTTCATACACAACTTTCACTTGTTTCTCTAAGAGATAACAGCAGCAAAGATTGACAGTCTGTCAGGTTAACCATTTTCATTGTGTACTTTTTCTGGGCAGATTATTCACATCGAACTCCTTTGATGTGATCAGTGATGATGCTTTTATTGGGCTTCCACATCTAGAGTATTTGTAAGTAAAGAAACTTTTTTTTTTTTTTTTGACGTGATAATTCAGGACAAGTGCTCTCAGGTTCCTACAGCTGTCTGACAACAAATATTATAACCTATTGCAGATTCATAGAAAACAACAACATCAAGTCCATTTCAAGACATACTTTCCGGGGACTAAAGTCTTTAATTCACCTGTAAGTATGAATGTTGCTATTACTTTTTAAGCTTACTAATGGACAATGCAGTTTGATAACCTGTGGCTCAAACACCCACTTCTTGGGTAGTCCGTGGAAACTTAAGAAACCCAAATGATTTCTCCCCATGTACACGTGCCATATCTCCCTCTCATCAGCCAATGTGGGTTCAGAAAACTGATTGCTATTAATATGATTAGCCTAATCCAACAATAATTAGGAAAACAATCTAATGCAGGGAAACTGTGTGAATGAAATAACTTTTTTATTATCTACATCATTACTCACTTCATGGATAATTATGGTTTGACTATATAGCTTAATTTGATATGTGCTGTTTTTCTTTTTCTGTGTAAGCCCTGACTTTATATACATTTAAACATATACTATAACCACCAGCAATGTCTACACAGTACATGAACAATTTGTTTGTAAATGAAATACTTATTCAATGGGTGACTATAGCTATAGTCATAGTTCTTCATGGGAGACAATTTTGTCTCCTGGGGAACATTCATCAATATCTAGAGACAATTTGGTTGTCAGAACTCAGGGCTGTAACTGATACCTGGTGGGTAGAGGGCAGCAATGATCCTAAACACCCTACAATACACAGGACAGCCTCCACAACAAAGAAACATCCAGCTTAAAATGGCATAGTGCTGAGGTTGGGAAGCCTTGAAAAACATGAACCAAATAACTTATTTCTCCTAGCCTCTCTTGCCCCCTAAACACATACACACACACACACACACACACACACACGTATTTTGAAGGAGGCTAGAGGGCATGGGAAGAAAAGGTACTAACATTTATTAAGTGCCTACTATTATGTCAGTCAATTTGCTTTACATGGATTTTCATTTAATCCTCTCAACAATCCTGCCAGATAGGCACAATAATCCCCATTTTAGAAATGAGAAAACAGAGACCTGGAGGGGATATGTGACTAGTGAGCTGAATAGTTATGGGATTATAACATCAATTCAGTAGTTGAACTGCAATGGCTATTCATCCATTCAAGACTATTTTTCAAGTGCCTAATATGTGTCTCATTAGTGTTAAGACAAAGATGCAGGAGATCCCAGTGTCATTCTGTCAACTTTAATGTGTTCCCTCACAATACCTCACTGTCAGCTCTGTTCTAAGCCCCAGGATGCAGCAGGGAACAAGGCAGACAAAAATACTTGCCTTTGGAGTCTACATTCTAGTGTGTCCACAGGGTCATAATGCTTCCTCTCACCAAACCTTGTCTCAACTGCTGTTTGGATTTGCAGTAAGGGGCACTGATGGCCAGATGTATTACACACAAATCATTAGACCCTTCAAGTCTTCTGTAAAAAGTCATTATAATAAAAAACATTTGCTTTGCTGTGCTACATATCAATCCTGTAATGTGATACAGAAATAGCTGTGTATGGTATACATGTTATGCCATTTTATCACAGAGCCAAACACTACCAAACATCATTGTTTAGAAAATAATAAAAAACAGAAAGAAATATATGGAAGGAGAAATAGAAGTCATGACCTCAACTTGAGAGGTGCTTAATTCACATAAATCCCATTCAACAGAGCTTTTGTCTGATGTTCAGCATAATCAAGGACTGAAGGAAGGATGTAAGATCCACGTGTCCTCTCTGGGAACTCATGACATAAGCCTTGCTATTCCCATTGGTTCACTCAAGTGTATCTTCTCTCCAGTCTAAAAAACTACCTGACCCAGAAGGAAGGAAGGATGGATGGATGGAAGGGAGGGGAAAAGGATGGGTGGAAGGGTTAATGAAGGGAGAGACAGAGAAAGGGAGAAAAGAAGGGGAAGAGAAAACAGAAGGAAAGAGGGGAGAGATGGGGAGCAAAGGGAGAAAGAAAAAAAATCTATACAACACCCTAATGAAGAACATCTATTTTATTTGACTAGAGCCTGTTAGGTCCATTAAATGAAATGGGAATTGAAATTTGGGTCTTAAGGAGGCCTCTTATAAGAAGGGGACACTGGTATAACATGTGTTTAGCATCCAGACATTTTCAAGCTCAAGGGAACACCAAAGTCAGTCTTCAAAGAGAGCAGCATGAATCTTAATGGTCAGACAGTGAAAGGAAAGTTTAACCTCTCTGATCAGGTGCTAGAGGTGGGAAGGTGTTATGAGGGAACAGGTTAAAGTTGACTGAGTGAATATGACCCTTAGGTCTCTTGCATCTTTATCTAACACTTAGGTTGACTCATATGGCATTGCCAATATTAGACTATTTTTGATCTACAAAAATGCAATGCCATATGACTCATCCTAAATAGTCTCTAGGAAGTGCCACACAAAGATGAATAAGATCCAGTTCCAACCTGGAAGAGCTCAGTCTGGCAAGAGGAATTAGACAAACAAGTATTTTCTCACTGAGTGCCTTTGTCCCCAAGTTA